CTGGTTTAATTTTTATATCTTATTTATATTTTATTTAAAAATTTTCTGTTATTAAAGTTGGTAGAAGAATACACTATATTGAAGTATATACAGAAATTGTCATATTTATACAGTAAGTGCTCAGTATATCACTGATTAGAATTTAGAAATTAACCGTATTGTTGATTAGTTGATTAGAAATTAACCTTAGAAAATTAAATTAAGTATATTAAATACAATATTTTAACAATATAGAATTTAAATCTCTGATTTGCCAAAATAAGTGCCAAATATCCACTATTTGTTGTTTAAGAACATAAAAAAACTACTAAAATATTGTAGGATAAATATTAGTTTCCAATAACCTCTTTGTCATACTCTGACTGTTGTTCAATATTTATAGAAGTTAAAAATGTATCCCTGATTTCAAATATTTTACTCTAGACACTTATATTTTCCTTGCTGTGTAATATGCACTGGTATGGAAGTCATTCTTAAATTTTGTTATACCTTCAGTTGTGCTGCTAATTTTGCCATTGCTATATATCCGTGATGGCAAACCTATGGCACGCATGCCAGAGGTGGCACGCAGCGCTTTCTCTGATGGCAGGCGAGCTGTCGCCCCAATTCAGCTCCCCTGCACATGTGTGTGCATCTCCTGCTGGCCAGCTGGTCTTCAGGTCTCTGCCACGCTTTTGCGGGGTTCAGAAGGTCACATGTGTGGGGTGGGGTGCATGTGTGGGGCCGCGCACATGTATGGGGTGGGGTGCATGTGTGGGGCTGCGCACATGTGCATGCGCAGGGGGTGGGGCACATGTGTGGTGGAGCACATGCATGGGGCCGCACGCGGGGGTGGGGCGCATGCATGGGGGGCACGAGCATTGCATTTTGGGCAATCGGGGGCGCGCATGTGCTTTGGACATTCGGTCCAGAAAAGGTTAGCCATCACTGCTATATATTATCCAAGTTTAATCTTCCAGTCTGGTATCTTCAATAATATATTTCTTTTCAAACTTCCAGGGAAGAAATGGCAACTCCATAAAAAGCAGAGCCAATGACCACGGCGGAATGAAGAGCTGGTGAGTAGACTGGGCCTTCACAATTCCTTCCTTTCTGATTTTAGAAAGAAATAGTCTAAGGGTCCATATAAATAAGATTTTTGGAATTAATTCTAAAGAATCCTTTCCACTGGAAAATGTTTTTGCTTTAATGCATTAAAAAAACATAAGACTTTAAATATTGGACACTAGAGGGAACTAGAAGTAACTAAAGATTACAATTAAAGGAAAAGAAGACTCAAATCTGACTAATAAAACAAAATATTTCAACTTTGGATATATTGAACAATGGACCCAGAAATTAATTTTAAGGATGTCTGCCATTATAAAAGTACTGAGTTTAAAAGATGTTATAAAAGAATAACCTGCCCTGATTGAGACTGGATTGAAAGTGGATTTAAAAATAACATACTACACAAATTACATGGAAAAAGATATTACACTCAACATACAAAAGAGAGATCTTAATAATAAAAGGGATATACAAATGACGAACCTGGAAAAAGTAAAATCAAGTTCCATGACATTATTTGAAGGAACTAAAGAGCAACAATGTCTAGAAATGAAAGGAAGGAATATAAAGTTAGGTTAATTGATCAAGATTAAAATAGATATTTTGTTATCTATGGTAACTCTTAATGGGCTTTTGTTAATATCAGGAATGAAATGTTGTATGCATTTGTTTATTGGAAGAAGAGACCATTTGTTGTACAATATTTTAAGAAAAGTGATAATTTACTAAAATTGTTTATATTTGTGATGAAGGGAAATCATTTCTTCATATTTTTTTATTTTTTACTATATTCTTATTTTTTATTTCTTTTTTGACCCATTAACTATGATTTCCAATCCACAAACAGGCAATGGCAACTAAAATCTCATTCTTGACTTCTCTCTAGATCTTCTACTCAGTTTATTTTATTTATTTTATGCAATTTATATGTTGCCCTATCTCCGAGGACTCGGGGCAGCTCACAATGGTAAAATGCATAATTCCTTATTAAAATGATATAAAATTAAAATCCAATTTAAAACAGTTTAAAATTCATTAAACCCCCCCCATCAGCCCAGGCTATGAAATAACCAGGTCTTCAATTTGCAGTGGAACGAGCGAAGGTCAGGGGCCATCTGGAGCTCCAACGGAAGTTGGTTCCAGTGGGTGGTGTGCCCACAGAGAAAGCTCTCCCCCTGGGGGTCGCCAGCCGCCACTGTCTGGCCGACGGCACCCTGAGGAGGCCCTGTCTGTGGGAGCATACCGGGTGATTGGGGATTGTTGCTGGCTGCAGGGGGTCTGACAGATATCCCGGGCCTAGGCCATGAAGGGCTTTATAGGTGATAACCAGCACCTTGAACCTCACCCAAAGGGCAACCGGTAACCAATGCAAGCCGCGCAGGAGGGGTGTAACATGGGAGTGTCAGGACACTCCCATCACAACCCGCGCGGCCGCATTCTGCACCAGCTGAAATCTTCGAGTGGTTTTCAAGGGCAGCCCTAGGTAGAGAGCGTTGCAGTAGGCTAGGATCAGGCCAAAGTACTTATTAAACAGCATGTGGCAAACACAGAACACCAGATGAATCTAGCTAGGACCCAAACTTTATTGATGGTAAATCCATCAGGTACTCTGCCTTCTCTATGGTATAAATAACCTTGATATGCATAAGCATAAAAAGACCTTTACTTTGGCACAATGTTATGCTCCCCCCCTCCTTCAGTTGTCCTTCAAAGCCTATTCAAGAAAACACCTTACCCAGAGACAATGCCCCTATGACTCTGGATGCATAGAAACAAGAGAACATATGCTCCCCTAGTTCTTGTATTGCAAGATATTCATACTAGCCTTAGCTCCCCATCACAGGTAGTCTTTGACTTACGACATATCATTTAGTGACTGTTCAAAGTTACAATAGACCCCCACCCCACCCCCAAAGCTCTTTATGACCTGTTTTCAAAGTTATGGCTGCTGCAGCACCCTTGCATTCACTCTTACAACTGACTGCAGGGACACTGTAGCATCTCCCCATTCCACCCCGCTGGGTTCCTGCAGATACTCATCCACCCAAGGAAGACCAGGCAGACTGAAGCACATGTGAATCATCTGGAACATTAAGCCTCCAGCTTCCTTCTACCCAGTGACCACACTGGTCAGATCTTCCCTTGGTCATTGGAGACTTGCAAACTCCAGCTGGTTGATTTCCCCTAGGTTACTGGATGTGAAGAAAGCTAAAGGACTCCAATGGGCAAGAAACAGAGCACAGAATGCCTCAGGAGGTGGGGGGAAGCCTTGGGAGGCCCAATGTCTGTGAGCCTGTACTCCTCCTAGGGCCTCCCCCCATCTCTTAAGCTGTCTTGCTTAACAGCCCTCACCACCTGAAAACTATTTGTACAATTTTATACCACTCCGTTGCTTTCAGATACCTTCTACTTCTAAACATTGCCAGGTTCTGTGTAGCATTCAAAATTCATTGGATGACCTCTGCTATAAACTAGATTTAACGAGCACCTGGTTCACCATATTGAGTGCTTTGTAATTTGATATAATCTTCCATATATTAATCCCTTATGTTCTTCTATACCCATCTAATATTCCTGCCCCCGTTTAATTTTTAAATTTATGTAACTTTTATATCTTCTTGCTTCTCATAATTCTTTTTTAGAGTTACATTTTCATTCTTGATGTATCCTTTATGCTTTGTTAATGACTGTATCCCATCTTCCTTATGTTGGTCTATGACCATAATCAAGATTTGATTTGATGTTACATCTGTTTTTTCTTCTGACAAAATATCCTTTTAGTCAGGAAGCAGGCAGATGTACAGTCTGATGTCACAACATGAAACAACCAGTGGTGGATTGTTCCCGGTTCTGTCCGGTTCCTGCGAAACGGTAGTAAAAGCGGCGGAAGGCTCTACCCACCCGCCCGAATGTCATAATGGATATTCCGTGCATGCGCAGAAGCTTGCGCTCCCGTTGCGAGGTAAGTAGAACCCACCCCTGAAACAGCCCTGGGACAGCATATCTAATGTTAAACTTACATTTATCAAAGATGGTGTTGTGCTTCTCTATATTATAATGCGAATGCAAATTACTACATTCCTTGAGCTAGGTGTGTATTGTACAGAAACTTGCAGGATCTTAAGTCTTAAGGTAACTGAGCACTTTACTAAATACATGTAATCGCATGTATAACTCCACTCCATTCATTCACTTATTTTTAGGTGTTCCAAGTTTAAAATCACAAATGTTTGAAGGAAGGACTGCATACCAGTGCTTCTCAACCTTGGCAACTTTAAGATGGGTGGACTTCAATTCCCAGAATTCCCCAGCCAGCACAGCTGGTTATGCTGGAATTCTGGGAGTTGAAGCCCATCCATTTTAAAGCTACCAAGGTTGAGAAACACTGGTGTAATCAATGGTTAGCAACAATGAAGATTAAAAAAAAATCTCAATTTTATTTTGTCTTGAAGTGACAATTAGAATGTTGACTATGATTTAAGAAAATAAGAAAAAATAGAATTTTATATTAAACATCATAACTGTCCTAGAATGTGAGGCGATAAGATTTAGGAAGCCCCTAAGCCTGCTGAGGAAATAAAATATCTACTTAATGATATTAAAAGAGTTCCCAAGATTCTGACAAAATAAAGTAACTTCTCACAAATTGTGATACTTACTTCTTTCTGTTACGTTAAATTCTGGATTTTCCTTCCATTGCATTTTTATTGTAATTTCCACCCCCTCCCCTACTTTAATACATTTGTTATCTGAAGTCAGCAATTCATCATATCTTTTTTTTTAATTGGGAATGTTACCTTACCTATCCAGTCACTGAGAACTCAGATTACCCTTCCCCCTTTGGCAGTCAAAAAAATTTAAATGTGGTTATTCTCCTGCTTGTAACTATTACCATCTGAACACCAGATGCTGTTTTAAAATAACTTTAAAGATTAAACAAATCACACTATTTTCCATTTTTTTTATTTCTTTCCAAATTATAATACAAACAATATTGAAACAGGAAAATGTTCCATTTTGTTTTAACATTTAAAAACAACATCATTTCCATACAGGTTATATAACTTTACAACAGAAGGAAGAAACAAAACAATTATTAAGAAAAGTTAATATGAAATACTCCATCTTCAGATAGGCTCACATTCTCCTCTTCTGTGTACTTATATATAAGACTGTTTAAGAGAAAAAATAATACATTAAACAAACTCATGATAGACGAACAATAATTACTATAGCTCCAGTTCACGAATTATTTATTACTACTGAGCAGGAATATAACAACAAAAAAAATATTTTTTGAGAGAGACACCCAATTATGAAACTCTCCTAAGAGCCACCAAGGCTCTTTCAGTTATAGGTCACGATTCTACCTAAGCTTAGAGTTGTATTGGATCTAATGGATCTATTGGATGGCCCTAATGTTGACTTGCAGTTTACTCCAGGCTTAGACTGCATCTAAGATGCCTATTATTTTGTTTTTCTTTTTTAAAGAACTTTTAAAAAATGTTTTTAAATCATTGCTGGTTCTATTAAGTTTGTTTTATTCAAGAATTTAAATAGGGAGTTTATTGTAAACATCTCAGGACTCCTTTGGAAAGAGTGATGATAGCATAGCATAGCATAACAGGCAAACTGAAAAATTCCTTTGTTTTTATGGAAAACAGTTTTGCACTACTGAAAGAATCCATAACATGCAGTCCCAGGACTCAGGACCACATGAGATATGGACAATGGAACACTCTGCATGTGATTTGGCAGCACCAGGTTAAGGATGGGAGAAAGGAGATAGGAAATATAAAAGTTCCTATCTTTATCAAATTTATATATTTACTGTTTTTTTTAAACAAAATGACCTAATATGCTAATCAAGCTTCTTTCTGCCATATGTATAAAGTAATTAGATATTTCATTTTATTTATTACATTTTTATGCTACCCATTTCCCCTATAAAGTGGCTCTAGGCAGCTTACAAGTAGAAAAATAATTAAAACATTAAAAATACATTAAAAATACATAGATTAAGATTTTAAAACTATACTAAAACCAGAGAGGGGACAGGGTGGAGAAATCTTTTCATTCTGTCAGCCACCTCCAGCTATGAATATCCCCTCAGGTTCTCAGGCCAACCAGCAAAGCCAAGTTTTAACGCCCTTCTGGAAAGCCAAAAGGGTGGGAGCAGTTCTCACCTCTGATGATAGTGTGTTCCACAGGGATGGGGCCATAGAGGAAAAAGCTCTTTTCCTCAAATCCGCCTGCTGGAATTCATAGCACACAGGATCCATAGCAGGCCTCTTCCACTAGTGTGAGTGAGGCAGACTAGTCCCATTGGGGAGAAAACGGCTACTCAGATGGCCTGAACCTATGCCATGTAAGGCTTTAAAGGTAACAACCAACACCCTGAATTGGATTCGGAAGGAAACTCGTGCAGTAATGAAGTTATATGTACGGCCCTAGGCACTCCCAGGATTGTGTGTGCCACTCTATTCTGCGCCAGCTGCAGTTTCTGAATACTCTTCAAGGGTAGACCCATGTAGAATGTGTTGCAGTAATCCATCTGAGATATGACTAGGGCATGACTGACCATGATCCAGGTAAGAGCACAACTGGTACACAACTCAGTTGAATAAAGGCATTCCTAGCACAACTGCCACCTGCTCTTTGAGGAATTGTGAATTCATGAGGACTCACAATTTTGGGTAATGGATCTGTCTGGGGTAGCGCAACCCCCTCCAGAATTAATTAAGATAAACTACTGGATCCTGATGTCCCTTGTACCCACAGCCACGGTGTCTTGCCTGGCTTCCCCTATTGTTCCCCATCCCGTATTAAAATGTTGCCAATATTTCCTTCAGCTTTTTCTATCATTAAACTAACTGAAGTTGAATTTAAAGAAATCCTAATTTTCCTATTTTCATTTCTCCAAATCTAAAAAAAAAAAAAAGAATCTTCTTTAACACTGAAACAAATCAACCTCCCAAAAGCTAGACAAATTGGAATTACAAAAAGAAACAAAGTTTTAAAAAGCAAACAGGAAAAAATGTAGGGGTAAACATAAACACTTAAAAAAAAATAACACTCTTGCATAAAATACATTATTCCTATTTTTTTTTATATCAAAGACTGCAAGATGAGAAAAGTTAGATTTTAAACGATAAAACCAATGAAGTTTTAATTGAATAATTAAAAGCTACTATTTTCTAATAAGCATATTTACCATTATTTCCTCTGATGAAGGCATCTCCATATTTATTTTTCAATTGTCCATTTACATACTCTTCTGTCTGTTCCAGAGCAATATTCATGTAGCCATCCAAGCAGGCTAGTACACCTAGAATTAAAGTCATTCACATATTATAACGTAATCTCCCAAACCTAGTATTGTTCTAAAATTTAAACACAAAGATGTCAGTATACAATGTACAACTAGTAAGAATGAAAGTTAATTATGGCACAACTGTCAGTTCACTTTTATCTATCTAATACAATGTAATAGTAATAGTCTGCCCAAAAAAATTAAAGATATTAAAATAGGAAAAAGGAGCTTAGTTACAAATAGTTATTAACACCGTTATACCTATCCATATCTTTTCCCCTTTATCAGCTATCCTTTACATTACATCCTCATATTAATTTATATATCGCCTTTTGTTCTTTAAATTTCCCACTTTTTTTGAGAATCTCATCAACTCTAATTAACCATTACTTTCCTGGTTATGAGCCATTTAATCTTCTTTGATATATCTGTTTTGCAATTCTATCCTCATGTATTTTTTTGTATATGACCACACCACCTCAAAATAGTTCTTTCATGCTAGTTACACATTTTGGTTTTCTATTCACATTCAGCACTTGCATTTTTGACCCTATCTAGTTTCATTTTACATCACTCACTTTTTAAACAACCCATTCCCACTGCATTCAATTTGTTTTAGCTTTCTCTTGACATACACAGCTGTTGCTGTCTTATCAACCAAGCAGGCATAGCCATTTTTGTTTTCTGACATTCATCACAATTTTTATCAAAAAATATATGAGAAATAGCATCTCTCTCCCAGGCACACTAAACAAACTAATCCTCTACAAATTTTATTTCATTCTTAACTTATACTTGGAAACTATCTTTTGACAAATTCAATATACAGGTAGTTCTCAATTTAGAATCGCAACTGAGACCAAAATTTCTATTTTAAGTTGAAGTGGTTACAAGTCAAGTTCAAGAACATCATAATATAGATATATAAAATGATGCACATGGAGGATTTTTCCTTGTTCAATCACATTGTCACAATTCCTATAAACCTAGAATTCAATTTTGATTAAGAATTTTTCAAGAACAGGCTATTTAAGGATTATCGCTATCAGTCTATTTCATTATTCAAAGGGTACATAAATCTATCACAGTTGGAAGATGAAACAGGAAGAATATACCTCGGTAATCAACTCCAGAATTTAATTTTACAACAACTGGTCTTCCTATGATTTGCTTCAAGAAATCACTTGGAGTTTGTTTCCGTAGGCTCATTTTGGTATCTTTCAAGTGCTCTGCGGAAAAGCAGAAATAGAAATCTAATATCTGACAAAAACATAGCGAACTTTTAAAAACTCATTTATTACTTCAGCATTACAGTACCCGTCACCAAATGAAAACATTATATTCAACTTTATCATCTAATATTGTCTACATGTTATCTACATCTCTGCTGAATATACAGCTAAATCTACAGCTGAAAATGTTCAAAATTGTCAGGCATGATTGTATTCTATATTCAATATTTATACAGAATTATTTGGTAATCAGTGGTAAGCGTTAAAAAAAAAACCTCCAAACTTTAATATTCACATCTGGTCTTGGTAGGTTTCCTAAAATATCATTAAAATGTATCCGTAAATAAATCCAAAGTCTGTGTGTGCAATTCCAGACCCATCTATTTAAGACTAAGACAAATTAAAATCACTTGGCTTATATTTGATTAAGTTTGTATAGGAATGCTGTGCTCTTTTAAATTCTAAATTCTGTGTTTAGCCAAGCAGCTAGTAAAAATAATATTTATTCTAAACATGTAAGGCAGAAGTGAGCAACCTCTTTATATTTAGAACCTACACATTTTTATTTTTTTTTATTTTTTAATAAATTTTTATTAATTAAAAAGTACAAACATAGATACCACAGTACAACATACACAACAAATAAACATAAATCAAGTCTTGCGACTTCTTTTCCAAGTTTGTCACATCCATAAACTATATTTATATTCCTATCTCTATATCTGTATCTATATATTTACATGCAAAATAGTATCTTAAACTTCATGTTTAATTAATTATATTTCTTAATTGATACCCAATTTTTGTCTACGTATTTCGACCTCTCTTTTGTGTGCCTATTTTTATATTCCTTTCTTTTTCTCCAACCAGTTATACCATTTCTGCCATACTAAATAATCGGTTTCTTCCTTTTCCTGTATTTCTTTTGTAAGTTTGTCCATTTCTGCACATTCCATAATTTTAGTGATTATTTTATCTTCTGTTGGTATGTCCTCATGTTTCCAGTTCTGGGCAAAGACTATCCTTGCTGCCATTAATATGTGGATAATTAGATATTTTATTTCTTTTTCGTAATGACCTGTGATTATTCCTAATAAGAAAATTTCTGGTTTCATTTCTAGTTTCTGGTTTGTGATTTCTTCTACTTGAACCTACACATTTTTTAACCTTTAAGGGCCCTAAAACGCATATCACTGATATCGGTTGAAATAATTAATACATTACTGCTATGTCTCTTGTGATTCTTAAAACAGCAGTAAGTAGGATAGAGATCTTGAAGTATCCTTTTTCTTCTTTATTTTAACAAAATTTCAGAACCATGCAGACAAAACTCCACATTTTACCATCTAATTATGATGGTGAAATTTCATAAAACTTCTGCCTTTTTTGAACCGGATAAGCAATCCGGTTCAAAAAAAAATAAAAAAGTCTACCCTCCACAATGTACACAGTTAAAAGCTACAATATACTAGGGATGTACTTGAATTCCTAGAGTCCCAACATTCTAATATTCCAATTTATCATTTTCCTCCATAATTCTTTGCCCCAGATTTTCTCCTACACCTACATTTTCTACTTTTGTTTCCAGATCATCCCAAAACACATCACTGCTGGGTCAGTTTCCAATGAACATTTTTTCCAGCATTTTGCAGCTTCTTCCAACAATTATACTGGGGAGAGGGGGGGTCAGGCAAGAGTGTTAAGATGCAAATATCTCTGAAGACAAACGGGAAAAATAGCAACCAAAGCCCCGTTTGCTACCTGTAACAACTTCTAGCAGCGAAAGCCTTGGGCAGGCGTTAAGGCTCGCTAATGGATGTGAAAGCCGCTCCTTCGGCCAGCCGGGTCTGCGGAAAAATCCTATCAACTCGTGTTCAAAAGGATCCGGTTCTGCGCGCCGCGAGGTTGCACCCTCCTCCCCAAAGGAGCCCAGCGAGAAGACCGACGAAGCCTATCCAAGCGCCCGGTCGGCGTGCCCGAAAAAAGTGGCGTCGCTTCTATAGCGGCGGGAAAGCAAAGGAAGCAGGAGGCGAAGCTCAGCGCCTGCGATTGAGGGCCGCCACCGCCATTCAGGAACTTCCGCGAAAGACGCAGCGGCGACAGAACGCTCCTGAACCGCCCCCGCCTTCTACTACAGCCTTTGACTTGTGCCTTTTCCCGCCCGCCTCCACTCACCCGCGCTTCTTCCACTTCTTTAATCAACTCGGGCAGCTCCCCGAACCAAGGATGATGGGCTGCTCAAAGGACCAATCAGTGCTTCCCAGCTGTGTACTGCCAGTTACGGTGGCCAAAGACGGCCAAAATTTTTCCCGCTTTGGTGTCCTTAAAAAGAGGTTTCCTGTTTGAGGCCGCCGGGTGGCGGGGGGAGGGGTTGGGGGAGGGTGTGAACGCAGGACGTGACTCCTGCGCAATTTATAGGGCCTTCCTTCCCAATTAGTATATACGCGTATGGGATCGGTGCAGATTGCTCTCTTAGAAAATTAGCCGTGAGCTAATTCACACTTTTTATTTAATTCAGTAGAATAATTAGGTATGAGCTAAGTAGAAAGTAAGGTTTTGTATTGTAGTGCGCTTAAGATTTATTTATTTTTATTTATTATTTATTTATTTTAGTTTGTCAGAGGTATGAGATAACAGGAATAAGTATAAACATGAATATTAATACAGGAAATGAGTATGGACAGGGATGGAAGGCACGCTGGTGTGCTTATGCACGCCATGCATAATATATTATACATATATATATATGTATGTATGTATGTATGTATGTATGTATGTATTTCTCTTTAGCCAGGTTCTTCCTACGTAACCAAGATTTTTATGCAGCCCTAGTTCAGTGAAATCCCAATCCACTAGTTTGTAGGCTTTTTTTCTTCAGGCAGCAGCAAGCATCCTGCTGCCCATTGGGAGTGGATTGGGATTTCACTGAACTAGGGCTGCATAAAAATCTTGGTTTACCTAGGAAGAACCTGGCTAAAGAGAAATATACATAAAGGCCTACGAAAAGAAAAGAAAACACACACACACACACACACACACACACGAGTCCAAGAATGTTGATAAAATTATTTACTGATTTTACTAATTAAGGTGTCAACTGAGGCCTTTGCAGGTCCAGAAACAAATTGATTGAAGCATCATTAAGTCTTTGTCGTTTCTTAGCAGCCACATAGATTTTCATGATGATGTTCTGTAATCTGGTCTTGAAGGTCTCCCAATGGTGCATTCATCATCACCACTGTAACATAAGGTGACCAGATTTTAACATTGGTAAAGAGGGACATTGTGGGCGTGGCTTATTTTGTGGGTGTGGCTAGCTGGTCATGTGACTGGGTGGGCGTGGCTAGCTGGTCATGTGACCGGGTGGCCATGGCTATGTGTATAGGGACTACTCAGAGGGCTGGAAAGTCATTTCTGACAGGTCCTCACACTTTTGACTGGTCCTCACACTTATGACCATCCTCACATTTATGCCCGTGCAGCATTCTTAACAACCATGTCACTCATTTCACAACTGCTTCTCTTCACCATGATGACAAGATAGGGCAAAAATGTAAAATGTGAGGACAGTCGTAAGTTCGAGGACTGGTCAAAAGTGCGAGGACCAGTCAAAAATAACTTTTTCAGCCCTCTGAGTAGTCCATATGCATAAAAGGATACAGTAATTGAGAGGGATGAAGGAAGGGAAGGGAAATTAGAGTAGGAGTGACGGTTAAGAGAGGGAGGAAGAGAGGAGGAGAAGGAGAAAGGAAGAGGAAGTAGGGAGGAGAAGAAGAGGGGGGGAAGAGAAAGTAAGAAGGAAAGAAAAGAGAGGTGGTAGGTTTGAGGAGAAAGATTGCTGTACAATAAAAAAGATGAAAGGGAAGAAAGCCAACCCCAAACAAATATAAAGATATTAAGATAAAGAATGAATGGTTAAACTTTAAAGAATAAAAGAGAACAAATATGAATAAATAGCAATAATTAGAAACACACATACATACAATGTATTTTCTTTGAACAGAATATTTGGCTGGTTCACAAATTTAAACAGTGTTTAGTCATTTCAATTAAATTTACAATTTCTATATTTCCTTTTTGCCATATTTATTCCTCATCTATTTTTTTAAAAAACCAATATTATCCTTCATCCTCATCTCTAATCTTAATCAAATTCAATTTTTCCCTTCTATTCTATTTTATACCCCTTCCCATTGTCATCTATTTTTATATCCATCCTCACATTGTTTAATTATGTAATTATGTAATACAGTTGTTTAATACAAATTCAACATTTTAATATAAATCAATTAGTTATATAACTATCTTTTTTGTATAGTAATCAATATGAACATGAATATTCCAATTATTTCCATGCAATCCAATTTCTTACAAATCAATTAATTATACTTACCAATAATAATAAACCAAATAATTTCCCCCATATATTCCTCCAAACCACAACTTAACCATTTCTGCTTTCAACACAGTATACAATTAATAATATCTCAATTATTACAATTCCCTAGTTAAAAAGAGCTTTTTTTTCTTTTGTGTTTTAAAATCTTGAACTCTCCTCTTTTGCCCTAAATAATTTTCCATTGTTTGCACTTACCTTTTTTGGTGAGGAAAAGGAAAATAAATCTGCTGCCTAATTTTCCAACGTTGCAAGCAAACCGCAAAGCCAACAGCCTGTTTTACTTTCAGTTTCGTTTTGAGCTTGGTTTGCACAAAGAGGAAAAAAAACCTGAGCAATTTAGCAAGAGCAGAGCCCTGTGCAAATCAGCTGAGAGGGGGAAGCCGAGCTAATTAACGTAGGGCGGCCCTTTGAAGCCCCGCGGCAAGAGTTTAAACCGGTTTTTTCCCTCTAGCCATCAGCGGGGATTCAGGAGGCAGCCGGGAACCAGGAGGCAGAATGAAAAATCGGGACTTTTTTAAAACGCCGCGGGACGCGGGACAAATTGCTCAAAAGCGGGACTGTCCCGCCAAAAGCGGGACGTCTGGTCACCTTACTGTAACAGAATCTGTCCATCTCTCTGCTGCTCATGGTCTTCTCTTTCCTTCCACCTTTTCCAGTGTTAGAGCCTTTTCCAGATAGCTGAATCGTAGTCTCAAGTAGTATAATCTGAATCTAGTCATTTGTGACTAGATTGAGAACTCTGGCTGATTTATTCAAGGTTCTTTTAGCTGGTTTTCTTGTCTGCTCCTGGTGATGTCAGGAGTCTTCTCCACCACCAAAATTCTCCTTCAGAAATCACCAGGAACTTTACTAAAAGCGTGCAGCTTTACACTGGAGAGTAACATTAAGATTAAAAGCTAATCTGAAAATGGGAAGAATTTTTGACCTCGCCTTACCCCTCCAGCTGTCAACATACTTGGGTACCCAGTAGGTACAAAATAAAATTAACTTGCACTGTGGACAGTGCAAGTTACCAATGCCTGTAGTAAAGGAGCTGCATGCAATGTGCAGAGCACCTCAGGGTGGCTGAAAAATAGATGCTCAATTCTGTTGTAATGTCAGCACCCATCACCTTTGACATTTATCAGGAAGTTATATTTTCTGTTACGGTTTTCTTAGGTAATTGAATAAGTTTTGGTGGCATCTATGTGAGATAAAAGAAAAACAAGCAGAACCTATCATAACTATATACCAAAAGGAGGACGAGGAGATATGAGTAAACATATCTTAATTGTTCTTAATTTTCAATTATTTGCATATGATTTGTTTTCTGTTACATAATGAGCTGTTCTTTTCATTCCTCATCTGAATATCTTTCTTGTTTAATATACAACTTCCGCTTTTTTAAAAATAGTTCCTTTGACAAACAAAGCAGGAAGTCTACTCCAAGCGCTGGTATGTCTGTAAAGCATGCTTCTTAGAATAAGGGTGTCAATGATACACAAAAGAGACAAGCAGGAGGAAAGAGAAACAAATATACCATTGGTATGGTTTAAATTTTTTTTCCTTAAAAAAATTGATCTTCAGATTGAAGACACAAATTGCTAGAAAGATCTCTTGCATAAGCTGTATTGAAATGTTTTTCTTCATTTGTATATCCACATCAGAGGAGCATAAAGCCATTGGGGGCAAGCATCTTCTAGTGACCTAGTTCAGTTCTTCCAGTCCCTTATAGCCACATAATAGCCAAGTCTGCATGAGATCCGCAGTGCAGTATAAAGTCTTTGGCATCCACTGTTTCCTATATTTAGGCATTATATCTCCTATGAAAATGTGCCCTCAGAACTCTCAGTTCTTCATCCAGAAGAGACTTTAAAGTTATTAATAACCTTGTATAACAGGAACTTATATTTGTATGAGTTCCTTGCCCCATTATATGAGAGAAAACAACTAAAACTTGTTGAATACCTTTCTGTCAAATAAGTTTTGGAAATTCTAATTAATGAAAATGCTATAAGTAAGTTCAACCTTACTTATAAAGGGCAAATATGTACATGTGTGTAACACACATATAAAAGTACATTAATTTAAAATATAAATGGCTTATCTGGAGGGAGTCGTATCATTCAAATATATATCTGAAAAGTTAAGGTTGCAGATTTTTTGCATATAGCAATAGCACTTAGACTTATATACTGCTTCACAATGCTTTGCGGTTTACAGAGTCAGCATATTGCCCCCAAGAACCTGGGTCCTCATTTTACCGACCTTAGAAGGATGGAAGGCTGAATCAATCTTGAGCTAGTGAGAGTCTGCCAGCAGCACTGCTGTTGGAAGCAGTCAGCAGAAGTAGCCTGCAGTCCTGCATTCTAACCACTGCGTCACCAAGGGTCATATACAGATTTCTTTTGAAAACTGGTCATTTATCTATGTCAGGCGATATGAAATTTTTGACATGATCTCTCTTAATACTGAGATAGTGCCTTTTATGCTGACATTTGTAAGTAACAGAAATATTTCATAATGTTTTCCTGGGATTGAATGTTTAATACTGGAAAAAGCACTATATTTTGAACTGTATTTTTACTCAGCAAGCTTCTCCAAACTATCATATCAGAACAACTCAGTTGACATCTAAGAGCAATCAGTGCAAAAACCACTACTAATAGCACTCACAACTTTCTTCTCCTTCCTGCAATTCCTTCTACTTTGGCTACACATTAAAATTATACCTGTGTATTTTCTTTTGTATCAA